GACAAATAGATATGAAGTCCTTTCTCAAACTTACAGTTAAGACAATGTAAATTAAGGTGCGAACTTTTTATTGACAGATCAATAAACCAACCATAAGATTAATTAATATCATTTTAGAGATATTAGTCTCTCAAAACTATCTATCAATCAGATTACTAAATTTAAAAGGTTTCAATTTTCATAAAGATATCTGCACTTAGTACTGTGTTTATTAATTACACCCATTATATAAGAATTTAAAATTTAACTAACAGGCTAGTAGCGTTTTAGATACTAACACTCCTAATGGAACATTTGAGTAACATATGTGAATGAAAGTGTTTAGTATCATACTTTGTTTGAACAGTGGTAAGGTCCGCAACGCGCATACACTTAAGACGGATGGTCAGGCTCATCACTTCTATTAATAGAATATTAAAACTTAATAGTTCTATTCTATTAATAGTTAATAGAACTTTAAAATCGGTCTAAAACATATTGTAAAGTAAATAAAATTTATTTATGCTTATTCCATAACATTTATTATTATTGGACTCTATTAGGGAAATTTTTCAATGCACTATAAACATTATTTATTTATTAAACACACCTATTACTTATCTGTTACTATGAACCATATCACTTACAGAAGTTGTAGAATTTTAATTAAAATCTAAATTGGTAATAACAACACATAGCTAATCTGTGTCAGATTGGCATCAAAAAATCGGTGCATATTATTAACATTATTATTTATATAAATTCTTCAATAATTAATCTTCTGTAACTTAAAACACTACTTTATGGGTGTGTCACGTATAGCAAAGCGGCCGACTCTACTATCCAGAAGCTACAAGTTGCTCAAAGTCAGGCTCTCCGAAGACTTTTCAAAGTGTCATGGTACATCCGCACGAATGACATGCTAGAATAGATTCGGTCAAAAAATACATAAGGGACAGAGCCCTAAAGCTATATGTAAAAATCAACAGGCTGATCTTAGATCAGTCATTGAACAATCACACAATTATTAATAATTATTAATAATACACAAATTAGTCAATGAGAGGGTGGGACTCTGCAGAAACCCTCCAGTAATCAAAGAGTAAAAGTGCTCAGATGTACTAACTCGGAAAAGGCTCAGCATAATAATATATTTCTCAGTTCCGGTTATTGCTCCAGTAAAAATATTAATTTTTTGTCCATTCAACCCCAGCTTTCAAGCTTTGAACTTGATAACGACACCAAAATAAGTGAAAAAACGGGAAAGTGCCAAGCAAGCGCAACAAACAAAGCAAAAAAGTGCCAAGTAAAAGCACCAAAAATACAAAAAGTTTTTAAGTAAAAACACATAAAAGCGAAAAGTGCTAATTAAAAGCACCAAAAATGAAAATAATAAATAAACTCGAATATCTGCAAGTACCGTCTGCATAAAAATCTTAATCTTAAAGTAAATTAAAAAGAAATGATTATGCAAATTTCATGTATGCAATTAAGCTAACTTCCATATATTTATTTTTCATTCTATAAAATCAAAGAAAAGTATATTTAATAGCAAAGTAATAATAATACACGAAAATAAAGTACAGTCATCAATCAAATTACTGAGGAAACAATGACGAAACTATATTGCTTTATCTAGATAGAAACATTTTATTTTTTTGGACACAGTGTGATGAACAAGAGAGGAACGCTCCGCTACGTAACTGACCTTTAAAAAAAACGAAATTTTAGCTATTTGGTTGGTTAGTTTTTTAATGTGTATTATATGTAGTGAACGTAACAATGTCTAGGCACCCATTTACCTAAATATGTTTTTTTTCCACAGCAAGGTCAACTCCCGCGATTATCAATGAATTAAAATTTTTATTATAGAAATTTGCGTAAATGGTAAATACATTTATTTCAAAGACATGCCAAACAAAATTTGGTGTTCTAAGGTGTTTAACACATATATGTATATAATATAAAGACACATTTTCAAAATAAAAAGTTTAATGACCCTGTGCGTCAAGTTTAACATACATTTGTGGTATTCAGTTTAAATGCGGAAGTTTTAATTTAAGATGAACTAAAAAGAATAAAATTTGTTCTGCCGACTGATGTGCATATAAGGCGCATGTTGAGTATTTATGGGAATATATAATAAAAAGATTTTTTGCACTAATTTTTTTTGATAAAGTCAAATTGGCGAATACAAATTTTAATAACAATAGAAAAAAATAAATATCTATTTTGATGCAACTTTATTCTTTAAAAAATATACACAAAGTATTTTATTATTATTAGATATGAAAATATTATTAAGTATCAAACTGTGGAATAATTTTTATTATAATAAAATATTTACAAAAAGTTATATAAAATAAAATTATGAACTGGTTTTTCAATTAAATTTAATTAAGTTAAAATATATGAGTACTGCAAATAAATCGTAATTAAAAAAGTTCATATAAAATATTAAAAATAAATTTATAAATTGGACTTAAGAAATCAGCACATTTAAAATTAGTCTATATAAATAGTTTTGAAAAAATTTACTTTGATTGTTTTTTGAAACTTTCTCTGGATACATTCTCTTTATTTTCCTGAAAATTATAAAGCAAATAGCATTATTTACATCAACTATTATAAAATATAACAAAGGAACTTACAGTCAACGAGATTGGTGTACTGTACCGTGGTGACTTCATTGGAGTTTTATTCTGCGGTGTATTAGATGGACGCAGCAATTTACTTGAATTTTGATTTGATATATTGCCGTCACTATAGTTAATACTAATAATACTTGTCTTCAAACTTTCAGAAGGTTCAATTGGCGTAGAGTTAAGTAGTAATTCGCAACTAGATATTTTTTGTGGAGATTCAATTGTATTTTCTTCTCCGCTACCCTAAAAAATAAAAGTTTTTGTATTAAATTTTATAAATTAATTTAATTTAATTTAATTTAAATAAGATTTTATTACCTCCTCATCAATTGTTGCTGTTGTGTCTAAATCAGACCATTCATTTTCTTGTCGGAAGCGTTTTACGATAATATTGTGCGGTGATGTTGCAGCTAAGACTCGTGGATAATTGAAATTACGTTTCGACGGTGTTGCACCGGTTGATTTGTAAACCTGTAATTCACTATCTTTGAATGTGTTCACATCTTGCGCACAATTTGTTATTTGTGCTTTATATAAATTTGCATAACCATTGACATGGTCTTGTAAACTTGTAGCAACTTCACTTGCTACTATAATATGTCTATTTAAATTATGCGAATTATTGTTTAAGCTTTCTGCTATGGCATCTGATGCTGCTTTCATGTCTTCTTTGCTTTTCTCCGATAATTGTTTAATCTCACTTTCATGTTCGTATAGAAGTTTAAGAGTTTGTGTGTTGTGCTCTACTTCATTTGATTCAAATGTTTTAATCAACTTCTCGTGTTGATCGAAATAATTTTCACTCTGAGCCTTTAATATTGAGCACTTAGAAATATATTTATCAACACATTTTAGAGAAGTTTCAGTTTGTTTGTCAAATAAGTTTTGTGACATTGCATTAGCTTCACAACATTTTTCTTTATTTTCCTCTATGCTATTTGCATGTACCTCTAATTCATTAATTGTTTTGTGACATTGTTGTTCTAATTTTGTACTTATTTCACTCATGTTACTAAAACATGTTTTACGCTGTACTGTTATGGATTGTAATTTTTGAATCATTTCATCGACTATCGCTTGTTGTTGTGCCGCTAAAGAAGTTTCATTTACAATTTCGGTATGTATTTTACCAATATTTAGCAGATTACTTGCAAGAATTTGTTTTATAATTTCAATTTGGTGTTTTAATTTAATAGCTTGCATTTTGACATTGTTTGAATTTAATTCTAAAAAGTCAACTATACTTTTTTGGGCCGATTTAATGTTTGCCAACTGTTCATCAGTATAGGTTTGCATATCGGACAGGTTGTTTACAAGTTGTGATTTTAATTCCACATCTTTGCTTCTCAACTCTCCTAACATATTTAAAACTGCTGACTTATGTTCACCACTCAATTCATTTATAGTATTTGTGTATTTCTCAGTTATAGTGTCTGTGGATTTCACAGATTTTTCGCATAATACATTTAGTGTATTAATCTTTTGATTTGCTTCCGAAAGTAAATTAATTCGTACGTTCGCAATATTATTGTCTGAAAATTATATAACTTTTTATTAACAATATTTA